ACTTCAGTCGGCCCCAAAGTGGAGGGCCCCACTTCTGGGAAAACATGCAAAAACCAATGGAAAATTCATGATTTGGGCCTCGTGGGGGCCCAAGATGCCTTCAAGATGGCTCAAGATTGTTTCGAAACGAGCCATAACGGCCCCAAGACGGCCCAAGATGGCCCCAAGAGGGCCCAAAAGGCCCCCAGAGGCCAACACAAACATGCATTTCCGTACAGATTTGAAAGATCTTAGCGTTCTCGCCTTTTTCGACCCTCAGGAGCCCATGACGACCCAAGCAGCCTCCAAGATGGCCCTCAAAATGGCCTCAGAGGCCCCAAGAAGACCCGAGACGGCCCCAAAAGGTGCTCAGGAGGCCCCTTAGAGGCCCCAAAGATGCCCCCACGGGGCTCCCAAGAGACCCCCAAGAGGCTCAAAGAGGCCCCCCCAGAGGCACCCAAGACACCTCAAGACGCCCCCGGGAGCGCCGAGAGACCCGAAAGACGCTGCAAGAGGACTCCGGGAAACTCTCAAATAAATCCGACGAGACTCCGAGGGGCACCGTAGAAGGCCCTTGGCCTTTTTGCTCGCCCTCCTGATCCTCCTCCTCCTCCTCCTCCTCCTCCTCCTCCTCCTCCTCCTCCTCCTCCTCCTCCTCCCGTTCCTCTTCCTCATCAGCCTCCTCCTTCATCCTCCCCCCCCGTCTCCGTCCTCCTCCTCCTCGTGTTCCTGCTCCTCCCGCGAGAGAAACATGGGGAGGCGAGGTCCCCGGCACCCTGTCCCAACCTGCCGGGGGACCCCGGAGCAGGCGGCGGGGGCAGGTGAAAAACAACGGCGGCGCGCGAGCAGCGCTGGGGGAGGGAGGCGGGAGGGGAAGGAAAGGAGAAACGCAGCAGCAGGGGCGGCCAAGCGAGGAAAAAGGAGGGGGACAGGAGGAAGAGGGGCGGGGGGGCGGGGGGCGTTCGTGGAGCTCGAGGCGGTCGTCGTCGTCGTCGTCGTCGTCGTCGTCGTCGTCGTCGTCGTCGTCGTCGTCGAAGAAGAAGAAGAAGAAGAAAAAGAAGAAGAAGAAGAAGAAGAAGAAGAAGAAGGGGTCGCGGGCGGCGGTCTTGGGAAGGGCGTGGAAATGCTCGAGCAGGGAGCCGCGCTGGTGGTTGCGGTGGTCGGCGCGATCGTGCTAGCGGTCAGACTGGCGGGCGCGCTGGCAACAACCGTGGAGAGAACCGCGATGGGCGCAGTGGAGCCGCGGTCGCTGCACGGCTCGCCGCGGTAGTTGCGAGGCACCAGCGCCCGCAGCAGCGGCTCGGCAGCGGCTTGCTGGCCGAGGGCGCCGAGGGCCATCTCGGCGCTGCCCGCGTGCAGGGTCACGGAGATGCCCCGCCATAGGCGGCCAAGGAGCTCCCCCCACTCCGCCTCCTCGAGGTCGGCGCCGCAGCTGCACGCGAAGGCCGCCGCCTCCTCGGAGGGGCGCCCCCCAGCCTCGAAGACCATGGGGATCCATTGGGGAGACGGCGATCCCACCCTGGCACGAGCTGCTCGTTGGGGGCGGCGAAGTCCGTGAGCTCCGCGCGCCGCTTCGAATGGAAATCGCGCAGGCGGTTGTGTCGATCGCTCCGCGACCCCCCGACTTTGCACTTTCTCGCGGGCCAGCCTTCCCTGTCGAGCGGGCGGTTGCAAACGTGCTGAGTGGCCGCGTTCTCGCGCTGGCACCTGGGCCCCTCAGGGCAGACGGGCAAGTCCAGTCGCATCTTGAAGTCGGTCAGAAAGCGCTCGTCGGGTTGAGCGGCGTCTCCAGCATTTCGAGGCAGCAGGAACGACCCCGCCCCGGCCCTTCCAGCCGAGCGCAAGGAAAGGCGGCCGCCCTCGTCCAGCAGCGTGTTCAGGGGTCGCTTTTGGCTGGCCCCGGAGGCGGGCGGCTTTGCACCAGCGAGGGCACCTGGCACGGAGCTCCCCCAGAATGCCGACCCCGAGGCAGCCGGCCACGTCGCGCAGGCAGAGGGCCTGGCTGGCGGCGCAAGCGCGCAGCGAAGGCGCGAGCGCGGCCCACTGCCGCGAGGCATCGGCTTCGGCGTGGACCACGACTGTGTCTTCTTGCGAGTCCAGAAAGGGCGCAACGTCCCCGAGACACAGCAGGTTGTCGACACGGTTCGCGGCGAGTCCAGGAGGCAGTGGGGTCTCGCGGTCAGATGCCCAGGCCTGCGTCTTGTCCGCGTTGACCGTTAAGCCGAGGCGGGCGAGTTCTTCTGGCGCCAGCTGCGCCGCCGCCACGGCCTGCCCTGGGGGCGCATAAACAACGGCGTCGTCGAAGTACGAAAACACCCGGCACCCAGGGGAGAGCTGTTGGACCCCCCCGCTAATATCGCCCAGGGCCGCGGCCGCGGAGATAACGAAAAGGGTCGGCGACAGCGGGCAGCCTAGGCCCACCCCGCTGGTCGCCCGGATGGGCCCCGCGCAGCCGCTGCCATTCCAGAGCAGGCGCGCCGTCTCCCCACCTAACCAGCAGCGCGCAATCTTGAGAAGCGCGGGCGCCCGATTGCGAAGGCTGCTAAGGATATGGTGTCTGGGCGAGCTGCTGCACGCGTCGCTGCAGTCAAAGACGAGCACCACGCCCATGGAGTTCGCCTCTGCGAGTGCCGAGATGCATGCGTGCATTTCTTTGCAGCCCCCTGGCATTCCGACAGCATACTGGCGCGGCCCGCACGCGGCCTCGATGTCCCCCTGGAACACATCACACGCCGCATCGGCGGCGAGGCGGCGCAACACGCTCCCGCGGGCGATTGGCAAGAGACCTCCGCTGCGTTTGCGGAGCGCCACCAAGCGCGTGCCAAGGTTGGTTCGCATAGCCTCTGGGGCGAGAAGACCGCGCAGGAAAAGGACCGTCATTTTGGCGACTGCATCAAGGGCTGCAGATCGGGGGTGGACAGAACCCCACCTGCATAACGTGGCTTAGTGAAAACGACCTCGGACCAAAGCCTGGCGGGCGCAAGCCTGGAAAATGACGGCCGCGGCCCCCTCTCGAGAACCGAATGCGGACAATTCACACACCGACGCGTCAGGGTGGGAGTTCTGTCCACTCCCGAGTAGAGCCTCTGAAAAGCGTGCGCCAGTGATCGAAGCGACCCCCGTTGAGCCCAGGCCTAGACAGGCGCGGGCTCCAGCCGAGGTGGCGCTTTACGGCCGCGACCAGGTCGTTGCTGGCGTCCGCGTCGGGGAGCTCGAGGTCGGCGGCGCCGGGCGGGGCGGCGCCCAGGGGGAAAAGCGCCTGCGGCCCAAATTCAACCCTCTCCATAGTGGCCAGCACGGCTGGGCGGAAGCCGCGGGTCATGGCCTTGCTGATGAATCCCTCACCGACCAGCGCCTCGACCGCTTTGGCGTCTTTCCCTGGGGGGTCGGCGCGCCAGTTTCGCCGTGGCGTGATCCCGCCTTCTGCGCGAGCTTCCCTCCAGAGAGCGCCCCAATCGCCGGCTTCCCCGAGGCGCAGGCGTCGTGTGAAGATGGCTGTACGGCCTCCGCCGTTGTTCCCTGTCTTGCGCCCTCCCCTGGTCCTCCCGGGCTTGAAGAAGAGGACTCGGCCGAAGCAGGTGAAGAGCTTCTCTGCGCGCCTGCGCGTGGTCTCGTCCCCGCTGTCAGTGACCTCCAAGAGGCGCAGCGCCACTTGGCCCCGGAGCTGCGCGAGGGCGGACCCTACCGCCTGGGACGTGGACTTCTGTCGCCACGTGGTGCTGGAGGTCGTCGTACTCCACGCTGTCCCACCAAGCTATTTTTGGGGGGAGCTCCGAATCCTCCGCACGGTCTTCGGGTAGGTCGGCTGGTCCCCCGTCGTCCGCGTCGAGCAGCGGAGCGCCAAGGACGGCTTCTTGCAGGCGTCGTTCGGGATCTGCTCTGGCGCGCTTCGCCCGCCGCGTGTCCTCAACGTGTTCCGTTCTCGTGGTCATGCCCAATTGGTCGCAGCATTCGCGGACGACGTTGGCATGCCCTTCGGCGAAGAGGCCAGCACCCCCAAGCTGGTCAAAAGGCCCCAACCCGCCCTCGACGCAGCGCGGGTGGTAGTACAGCTTGTTCGCTTGGTTGGGATTGAATGCGCGCAACTCGCCCTTCTCGATACGGTCCCCACACCCGGCCGCCCTGCAAAGGCACGCCCGCCTCGAGCGCATCGTGTCCACGGCCCAGGTGGTGACCAGGGCGTCCCGTCCAGACGGCGGTCTGGCTTGCGGGCGCGGGCTCGGCGGCGGCGGCCCCCCGTCGAGTTCATCGCCCGGGAAGGCCAGCCATCGGCAAGCAGCCACGAGGAACAGGCCAGCGATTGGGCTGTCGAGGGCACCGCTTCCCGCCACGACCACGCCTGCGCTGCACAGACGGCATATCCAAAGGCGAACGGAACGCGTACATCTTGGGCCATGGCCCCAAGGGCGGCGAGGCCGACGGTCGAGCGCCAACCTCCGCAGAGGGCCGCCCGCGAAGCCATCCATAGCACGGGGGTCCCAGAGACCGCCGCGCTGATCTGCATCGCAGAGGCGTGGCTGCCAAGGACGCCGTGCAGCAGGCAGCCTGCGTAGGCTGGGAGCCACACGTCTGGGACCATGGCGAGTAGGAGGCCTCGGAGCACCAGTTCGCAGCACCAGTCTGCTCCTCCTCCTGCTCCTCCTCCTCCCCCTCCTCCATCCTGCCCCTCTTGGGGTACGACGCCTTGGCCAGCCATGTATTCCGCTGCATTCTCCTCCACATCCCTGATCAGGGCAACTCGTCTGGGCATCGTTTCTGGATGGGCTGGTGGGGTTACGCGATCGTCTAGAAGATTTGTTGCTTGATGCAGACACGAGACTGAGCGCGTTGCGTCTGGGGGGGGAAGAGTACTCCTCCTCCTCCTCCTCCTCCTCCTCCTCCTCCACCTCCTCCCCCTGTCCCTCATCATCCTCCTCTTCCTCATCCTCCTCCTTATGATCCTCGTCTTTCCTCCTCCCGCGGACAGGACAAGCGGAGCGGACGCAGAAGTGGCAAAAACGGCGGCCAGGGGGGAGGGTCGCCGGGTAGTCGGTGCCAGCCTCCCACGACTTGCCGTTGGCCCTGCTCAGCGGCGCGCACGGGGAAATGGCAGTGCGGGCTGCAAAGGAGGAGGAGGAGGAGGAGGAGGAGGAGAAGAAGGGAGCGAGGTCTGGGAGGAGAAGGCGAGATCCTGTCTGCTGCAGATTCGGAGGGTTGCGGAGGAGGAGGAGGAGGAGGAGGAGGAGGACGAGAGCAGCCCGCAAATGGATGTTTTGGCGACGCTGGGGTCAGCCTCCACATGAGGTCCAGGTCGAAGAGGTTGACGCAAGCTGGCTTCTCCCATTATCCTAAACAGGAGGTTCTTGTTCCCTGCTAACAATATGATCATTCCGCCTCTTTCTCCTCCTTCCCCTTGTTCTCCTTATCCTCCTAGTCACGTATGCCTCCGCCTCCTCATCCTCCTCCTCCTTTTCCTCCTCCTCCTCACATCTCGTAAATGTCTTCCCTCCCACCCCCCAGAAACATATTCACGCACGCTCAGCTTCTCACACAGCCTCACTCATACTGAGCTCAGACCCACTCAGTGAGGGAACTCCAGCGCTGATCCAAGAAATTCGCGCGGAGCTCCGACTATCTTGTTTTTAGCGTACGTGAGGCGTGTCAAGACAACATGATCGTCGCGATAGAGCTGACATGGCACCTGGGCATCCTGTGGGGGGGCTCAACCAAGGCCCGTTCGCGCCCAGATTGTCGGAATGTTATCAACAGACTTACCGTCTTGGAAAGTAAACGTATCCCGTTTCCAGGGCCGCGTGGTCAACGCGATGTAGCGGACAAGGCACTTCGGCGTTCAAAGGAGGTGACGACACGCCTGGTACGAGCATGAGGAAAAACAGTAAGTCTCATAATACTTCGCAATGATGCGGCCGCAGCGTGCAACACATGACCGTGCATGGGGCTGCCAACACTTGGTCATATCAGCAAGAACTGGACCACGAAGATAACATGGGGTATCATGTTTATCACAAAGCTGGGCCCAAGCGGCTTGATTGTCCGAACGGAGAACTACTGGTCGGATCCTGCTGCGCCGGTTGGTATGTATCTGGCCGACAAACTGCTTGGAAAACATGCTATGCGCACTCGAATCGCACCGTGCCGCTGACGAGCACAGGTGTCCTTTGACTCGTTCAATTGTTCATCGGCATGTACACCATGGACAAGCATAAAGTCCGAACACGAATCATAGACTGGAGGCTTATGACGGACAGTACGAACAAGATGCAGTGCTGCCAGTGTGTTTCCCCGCATGCTGAGTGGGGCTCTCGTTTTCTCTGCACACCTCCGCGCAGGAACCTGACCTCACACCTCACCCCCACCTCCTGTCATCACCATCCCATCACGATCACCGATCATCATGATCACCCGCTCACTCTCTCGCTCATTGACACATCACCCACTCATTCGATATCAGGTCATAATGTCATCATGGCCATCGGCAATCGTCATCATCATCAACCACTCACACCCACTCTCAACGACGCAGTCACATTCACTCATCACCCACTCACCCATCATATGTCGTCGTCCGTTATCGTGGTATCGTCACGAATCGCGCCATCATCCCACACCCTCTCCTTCGCATCACCATCACTATTACCATACTCATCATCACTCACATTCGCTCGCACACTCATCACCATCATCACCATGACCATCACCATACACACATCATCGTCATCATCATCGTCATCTTCGTCATCAGCATCACCACCACCACCATCATCACACCATCGTCACCATCGAACATCATCGTCCTCAGCATCATCCTCATCACTCTCCATCACCATCATCACATCATCATCACCATCATCATTGTCACCATCCAACACCATCGTCATCGTCATCCTCATCACTCACCATCACCACCACCAACCCATCATCACTCACCGACACTCACCAAGACCATCACCATCACCATCACCATCACCATCACGATCATCACACGTGTATTCCCCACATCCTGAGTGGTGTTCTGGTTTTCTCTGCATACCTCTGCGCAGGAACCTCACCTCGTTCCTCTTGTCATTACCATTTCATCATGAACACCGATCATCATGATCACTCGCTCACTCTCTCGCTCATTGACACATCACCCACTCATTCGATATCAGGTCATAATGTCATCATGACCATCGGCAATCCCCATCATCAGCCAGTCACATTCGCTCTCAACGACGCAGTCACATTCACTCATCATCCACTCACCCATCATCATGTCGTCGTCCGTTATCGTGGTATCGCCATGAACCGCACCATCATCCCACACTCTCTCCTTCTCATCACCATCACTATCATAATCGCCATCATCATTCACATTCGCTCGCACACTAATCATCATCATCACCATCACCAAGATTATCATCACACAGACATCATCACCATCACCATCATCGTCACCATTCAACATCCTTGTCATCATCATCCTCATCACTCTCCATCACCATCACTATATCATCATCACCATCATCACCGTCGCCATCCAACACCATCGTCATCATCATCCTCATCACTCACCATCACCATCACCAGCCAGCCATCACCCACCAGCACTCACCACCACCACCACCAGCACAAATTTATCATTATGAATTATGACCATTCCATCATGATCATCGACCAAAAGGGAGCTTCGTATGTGAGTGAACCGCGAGGAACTCTCAGGCGGGAACCCCCTCCATATGCGGCCCGTATTTGATGTTCGAATCCGAGCGGGTCATCCACATCCTGTAACTGTCGTCACTTTTGGGCTCCTTGGGCTTGAATCTTGAAGAAGTCTCAGACGAGAGCCTCGTCTGTGAGTGAACCGCGAGGAAGTCTCATGTGGAAGCCCACTCCGAATGGGGCCCGCACTTCATGCTCGAATCCGAGGCGGGTCACCGGAATCTTGTAACTGTGGTCACTTTTGGCTTCCTGTGGCCTGAAGATGGAGGAAGTCTCGAACGGGTGCCCCTCCCTATGAGGCCCGCGCCTCGCGTTGGTAATCCGAGCGGCTCATCGGGATCCTTGTGCCTGTCGTCATGTTTGAGCTTCTCAGGCTCGAGCATGGAGAAAGTCTCGAGCGGGAGCCTCGTCTGTCAGTGAATCGTGCGTGGCGGCGCAGACTTGCATGGCGAGGGGTTAGTTTCGGTGGTTTCTTTGGCGCTGGTCTGGAGCTGCGCAGAGGCGCCAGTGGGCAGAAGGTTCGAATGAAGGGCGGAGGAGGAGTGTGAGAAGGTGGTGGAAGAGGGGGAAGGAAGATGGGGTGGGGGAGGACGCGGGCTCTTAGATGGTCCATTTCGCCTGAGACATCCTCACATTGCTCCGTTTCGTTTGAGTTGTCCCCAAAACTTTGGGGGCCCAAGGGCGGTTCGCAATGTTTTGACGTCCTTTTCGCGCAAGGTCTCCGAAAACTTTGGTCGCCGAGATGCCTTCGCTTGATGTGCGCCTTTTACTTATTGTGTGGCATCCTCAGAACAACAGCCTTCATGCGTGGGCACAGCAGGTCGTGCTACGTGTGCCAGGGTGTTCGGCGCTGACCCCTTCTGGGCTCGTGCCAGTAACGCTGAGACATTCGGGGTTCGTGCAACTTGCGGTCGGAGCAGATGCCTGGGACGACGACGTGCAGAAAAAGCCCTGGAGCGAGAGAAAAGTGACGCATTTGCTCCTGCTGGGCCAGGGCCAGGGCGGCTCGGGGAAGACGCACGTGGTGCAGAAGATCGTCTTTGCAGTGGTGGAGTAGGTATGGCCCTCGCTGGCGCCAGACAAGCGCGCCATGATGCTCGTGGCTTTCTCGAACGCGCAAACAAAAAATCGCACCGGAGACAAACCCCAGTCATAATCTGTTTAGGGCTATAGGGCTATGGGGCTATGGGGATATAGGACCATAGGGCTATAGGTCTATAGGGCTATAGGGCTATAGGGTTATAGAACTTTAGGGCTACAGGGCTACAGGGCTGTAGGGCTAGAGAGCTATAAAGCTATCAGGCATCTGGGGCCGTGCGGAAGCCATCTTGGGCCGTCTGTGGAAACCCACCTGGAAGCTCAAAGCTCTGGGGTGGCCGGGGAAGCTCCGGGGAGGCTTCGGGGAGGCCCCCGGGGAAGCCCTGGGAGGGGGGAGGGGAAACTTGTGCATTTCAGCGGCCCTTGGTGGTCTTCGACCCAGGGACCCCCGGGGCAGGGCTTCTGACAGATAGGAAAGATTTCAGCCAGGGTCATACTTGCTCCGGGTCTGGGACCAGTGCCAGAAGACAGTCAGACCGAATCAACAGTGCTCCAGTGTGCTTGTAAGATGTTACACAGCACTAGTTGTGAGGAGATCCCTCCCCTTCCTCGTACTCCAACCCCTCCTTCCTCCTGGTCTGCTCAATCATGTCTGAGTGGTTGTAGTGCATGCCAACGCGTTTTGCATTTTACGCTGTGCTGTCGTTTTCTGCACATGCGTTGTTAAGCGCCTGGCTGCTGTCTGCCATTATGTCTCACAATTTGTCGGCCTCCTGGAGAACCATCGTCAAGGCTGGACGCGGCCCGAGATTACTGAGATTACGGTGAGGAAAGAAAAGTCTAAGGGCCGATTTTGAGGTGGGGACGGTGCGAGAGGGGCGCTTTCTAAGGAGGTAGGGGCCTTTAAAGAGTGATTGGCTCCTTCCTTGCGGCCTCTGAAATGGGCCTTCTTGAAAAGCCGCTCTGCCCCCGACCAAAATCCATTCAGAACTGGCCCTCTGAACCCTACTGGGGGTCCGTCCTGTCCCGTTCTCCGAGCTGCGTCCAGCCGTGGCCGCACGAGAGAACGCACCCCAGGAGGCCCGGAAGCGGCCGAGGTTCGCCAGAATGCCCTGCTGCACGCCGCCGGCCTTCGCTGGATCTCTATCAGCGTCTCAGGCTTCGCACTCTCGACGCCCTCCCTGAGAGCCTGCCGGGCTGGGCGGCGGCGACGCGTGGGCGCGGTTCCCGCAAGCCAGAGGCGGCAGGGCGGCGGCGCAAGGGCGGTTCGAGTGCGCGCCTGCCGCGTGGTCGGCGCGACACCCTCGCAGGCTCGAGCTGCTGTGCCCAGACGGCCAAGAGCGGGCCGAGAATCGAGGGCCGAGGGTCGATCCGGACGCCTCTGGAAACCTCAAGGGCCCTCTGGGGACCTTCAGAGGCCTCAGACCTCCAGCCCAGGGTCGCCCAGCTTCGCGCTCCGCCGCCACGCGAAGCGAGGATGTCTTCGCGCCCTCAACGCCACCCGCCTGGAGAAGGGCAGCTCTCCAGCTCAGGCGTGAAGCACGAAGCGCGATTATTGTCTCCGTGCCCCTGCAGGTGACCCGCGCGAGCCCCTACCCCCGCAGGGCCAATGCTCATACGGTCATACGGTTGATTCGAAGCACAGCCTTAAGCGATGCTTGCAGCGAGGTGCCCCTCCCGTGAAGGGGTTCGGACAACCGCCCCTGCCTCGCCTGGACCCGCAGGGGTGGGGCTCACACGCCGTCACAGGGCGCAGGCAGCCAGAGTCCCGATGCACGGGAGGGGGGGTCGTTCGAGCTGCTTCTGGATGACCCAAATTCGCCGGCCCAACGGGCCAGAGGTGTGCTAAGATCTCCGGTAACTACTTAACCACATTTCTAGTTCGCGCGCGCGGGGCGGCCCCTGGGGGGCCCCGGGCGAAAAATACCCTGGCCGATCCCCGGCTGGGTCCCGGGCGATCCCCAGGGGGGAGGCTATTTTTCGCCACACCTCACGAGGATCGTGGCCTCCGAGGGGGGGGGCTGCAATCGACTGCCCCCCCTCCCGCCCCAAGGGGCCCCCAAGAGCCCCCCAAGAGGCCCCAGGGGAGCCCAATGCGCCGCCAGGGAGCCCCAAGACGCTCCCAAGAAGCCCTCAAGAAGCCCCCAAGACGGCCCCAAGAGGCCCCAAATAGCGCTCCAGGGCCGGCGGAATGAGCGAAGCGACTAATAAGTTGTCTGACTAGCGCAGGCCATGATTTTGGACAAATATGGTTTTAACGTGTCTCGGGGTCGCCCGCGGTGCGACTCAACACGCGCAATTCCGCAGTACTAGCGCCTCCGCGCCCGTACTTGAAAAGAAACACGGGGGCAGGGATGGTAGGCAGACTGGAGCAGAGCAGAGACGTAGATCAGCGCAGGAGTTTAAACTGGCACTCGTTCGCGGAGGGAAGAAACGAGGTGGGGGCAGCGGCGACGGCTGCGTGCGGGAGCCGGATCATCGGGGAAACAGGTCCTGGACTCTGGAGCTTTCCCCGAAGATCGGTTTGTTGACGGTCTTGGGAGAGCTGTGGACTTCCGAGCGGCCCCCAAAACGGCGAAAACATCACGACACCTTTCCTGCTGTAGTTCCTCTCCCTCCTCCTCACACTTCTTGATTCCTTCCATCCTTCCCCTCCTTCACGCGCCTCCTCCAGTGGGACAACCGTGGACCTGTGACCCCAGGGTGCGGCGGTGGAAAAGCGCGGCGACGAGACTGACATTGACTCCAGGTGCCGCCCCCTTCTCTATTCACACCTTTGTCCTCCTAGCCCACGTCTTCTGCATCGCCCCTCCGATCCGCCTCATTTTTTCTCCCTTCACGACCCCCCGGTCTCCCAGATCACACCTCCTCCGTCCCTGTTTTTCTTCCGAACGCCTCCTCCTTTACTCCCGCTCCCCCCCATCCTCCTCTTCCTCCCCCTCCTCCTCCTCCTCCTCCTCCTCCTCCTCCTCCTCCTCCTCCACCTCCTCCTCCTCCTCCCCGTCCTCCGCCTCCTCCTCCTCCTCCTCCTCCTCCTCCTCCTCTCCTCTTCTCCTCCATTTCCTCCGTTTCCTCCATTCCTCGATTTCCTCCACTTCCTCAATCCTCCATTTCCGTCCTCCTCCCTCTCCTCCTCCTCCTCCTCCTCCTCCTACTCCTCCAGCTCTCTCTGATCCCCCATCCTTTCCTCATGCCCTTATCCCCCTCCTCCAATACCTCCTCTCTCTCCTCTCCCCTCCTCCTCCTCCTCCTCCTCCTCCTCCTCCTCTTCCTCCTCATCCTCCTCTCCTCCTCCTCCTCCTCCTCCTCCTCCTCCTCCTCCTCCTCCTCCCTCCTCCTCGTCTCCTCCTCCTCGCTCCTCCTCCTCCTCCTCCTCCTCCTCCGCCTCCTCCCTCCTCTCTCCCTCCTCCCCTCCTCCTCCTCCCCTCCTCCTCCTCCTCACTCCTCCTCCTCTCCTCCTCCCCTCCTCCTCCCCTCCTCCTCCTCCTCCTCCTTCCTTCCTCCATCTCTCCTCCACCTCCTCCCTCCTCCTCCTCCTCCTCCTCCTCCGTTATCCGCCCCTCTCGTCTCCCTCCTCCTCCTCCTCTCCTCCTCTCTCCTCCGGCCTCCTCCCTCCTCCGCTCCTCTTCCCCCCCCTCCTCTCCTCCTCCTCCTCCGCCTCCTCCTCCTCATCCTGCCTGATGCTCCTCCTCCTCCTCCTCCTCCTCCTCCTCCTCCTCCTCCTCGTCCTCCTCCTTCCTCCTCCTCCTCCTCCTCCTCCTCCTCCTCCTCCTCCTCCTGCTCCTCCTCCTCCTGCTCCTGCTCCTGCTCCTGCTCCTGCTCCTCCTCCTCCTCCGCCTCCTCCTCCTCGTGCTGCCGCGACCCCAGCACCCGTCCACCTTTAGGACGGGTGTCCACTGGCGTCAGGCGTGTGAGGATAGTCCATGCGCGCCAGGCCGAGAAGATTAACCACAATGCTCGCAAAACCTTCACTCCGCGGGCGTGCGTCCATCAGGTTTTTTTCCTCGGCGCCCGGGCGGGGGGCGACAGCCCGCCTGGGCGCCGGCGACAGGACACACCCCGAAAAAAAACTGCCCGGGGGAGGGAGGAGGGAGGGGGCAGGAGGGAACCGGAAGACGGAGGAGACGGACGCGCGGCGGGGAGGTGTGAGCCACCAGACCCCCCCCTTAGGCGCTCGCACGCCCGCCGGAGGCAAGGAGCGGGGGAGAAGAGGGGAAGGGAGGGGGAGGGGGGAACAAAAAAAGGCGCGGTGGCACTGCAGTCAGGCGGGGCCCCGGAGAAGGGAGAGCGGAGAGGAGGGAGGAAGACGAGCGGGCGCAGGAGCGGGAAGGGAAGAATACGTAAAGTAGAGTAGAAACAACGGAGGCTCAGCGCTCAGCGAAGGCCGGCGGCTCTCCGGCGCTGCAGGGCCAGCTGCGTCTGGACGACGCATAGGCGCGGATGAGTTCCGCGGCCTGCTGGTCTGCCGGCAGCGTCTTCGCCTGGCGCACCAGCCACTGGCGGGCCTCGCCCCCCAGGCGGCCTGGCGCCTCCACCGCGAAGGGCGCGAGGCGGTCGCCTGGGTAGCGCGCGCGCTTCTGGCGCTCGGCTGCGCGAGCGGCCTCGCCTGGCCTGCGGGCGGCCCCGGCCACGACGCGCTCTGCCGCCGGGTGACGCACGGTCACGTCAAGCCAATGCCGCCCCGCGCCCTCAAAGTATTCTATGTCCAGGATGGCGCGCTCCTGAAGGTCGGCGTCTGGCGGGTCGGTTTGCCGCCGATCCCGCTGGCGGTCCCACGTGGGAACTCTTTGCTCCTGCAAGGGGTCGTGGTGGAGCCGCCGCTAGATGAGGCCGGCCACGGAATCCTCGAGCCTCCCGTGGCGCACCACCACTCCGCCCCCGCGGGCACAGATGGCGGCGTGCGTGCCCCGGCCGTCCAGTGGAGCCGAGCAGGGGGCCGCCGCCGCGCCGGCCCCGCGGCTCCTGTTCTGGCACGCGTCGGCGGCCACGGCCAGTTCTGCCCGCGAGCACTCGGGCCTTCGCACCAGCGCCCGCGCTCGGAGCGCCGACGACCAGAGCTCGTCCTCCATGGTGCACGCCGGGTCGCTCGGGCACAGCAGGAAGGCAGCCGCGCCCGGGCCTCCAGCGCCCAGCAGCAGAGCTCTCTCGCGAGCCGGCAAGCGCTGCCCTAAGGCCGCGCGGGTGTTCTTTTGCGCAAGTTTCACGAGTTTGCTCTGGTTTACCTGACTCTGGAGAGCCTCGAGGAGAGAAGCCCCGGGGGCTGGTTCAGCTCCGCGCCGCCGCAGCTCAGCCCGCACCCTGGCAAGCGTCTGCTCCAGGTCAGGCACTGCCTCGAGCAGCTCGCTCGCGGTCGCCCCTGCGTCGCTGGCGACCCGTTCCAGGGCGAAAGCCCAGCCGGCCCAGAAGGCGGCTGCCCGGCGGTCGGACGCCCACTGCACTCCGGCCCCGCCCTCCTTACGCGAGATGCCGATGACCTCCCGGTTCAGCGGGTCGAGGTCCCTGCCTGCCAAGTCTCCCCAGCAGCTGGCCAGCGCGCCGTCGCAGCGTTGCGTCTCTGGGTCGGTCGCCAGGGTTGCCCGTAAGGCGTGCTGGCTAGCGGCCCCGGCGCAGGTGCCGAGCAAGCTACCAGCTGCCTGCCTCCGCAGGCCGTGCCTCGTGAGCGGCCGGAGAGCCTGCCAGAGGGCGCCGAGCCGGTCCGTGACTGCGCCGAGGCCGCCTTCCTGCTGGCCGAGGAGGAAGGGGGCGCCCCCCGGATCGGGCGCGCCCTCAAGTGCGAGCCCAGGACTGGCAGCGCTGCCACGTAGTGAGGGCGCAGCCCGTCCGGGAGCCCCCCCGCGCCGGCCGGGGCCCACACCAAGGTCTTGGTTGGGTTGAGCTCCAGGCCGTAGGGAGCCAGCGCTTGTTCCAGGAGGAGGAGCGCCTGCGCGGCCAGCGCCACCGGGACCACGAGGTAAGCATCGTCCAGGTAGGAGTACATCCTCGTCTCTGGGTCGAGGGCGCTGAGGTGCTCCAGGAAGGGTTGCAGGGCCTTGCGTTGGCCGACGGCGTAGGCGGCCGGGGCCAGCGGGTCGCCTTGGTCGAAGCCCCGGGCGCTTTCCACCGGCTCGAAGTTGCCGGCCGCGTCGCGCCAGAGGTGGGTCGCAGGGCCCCTGTGCCACGTGTCCAGCACGCGGGCGACCTCCGGCACAT